ATAATTAAATAGTTACTATCGCATTCTTTCTATGCGGTTTTGACTTATCTTTAATTTTGACTTTTCATTTTTTGACCAATTTTGATTTTCTTCAAAAGTGATAATGCAATAATATAATAGTCAATTATAAAATGTTATAAAATATTACACACGTCCTTATTAAATTATGTTTTTAAAATTAAATATAGAATCTCAATCTTAAATTGCGGTATTGGTTTATTAATTTTTTTATTCGACTTTCAAACATCTTGCCAATTTCGGCGTTTATTTTTTTTCTTTTACAAAATTGATTATAACCTTATTCTTCATATGCGGTTTTGGTTAATTAATTATTTTGGTATTTCCGCATTCCTGCATTGCGGGAAGGTTAAATGCTTCCACACAACAAAAGCCTAGCATTATATTAGTCCAGACATGGTCCTTTCATGACCATTAATCCGAAGCACCCTTACAACTAGATTAGAACTGATTCTTCGTGTTTCAAGGAAATTAATAAAATATAGTCACTTTTGTAGGTCCCTGAGCCACGGCTTCTAAATAATAATTCTAAACTGGCGAAAGTACGTAAATATAGGAAAAATTCCTATTAAAAGGGTATTAGGGTTTTGTGTAAAAATATTACCTCAATATAAACATTATAAGAGACGTATTGTATGTGTTATGATAATTCTGACCAATGTTAATTAAAACCGAATAAATATTCATCAGTATTGAATTTAATTAATCAAAATGATTTTCCAAGGGTATACATCTCGAATCTCGATGGCGTCATTCGTGTGTGTATGTATATATATAATATAATAGTCATTTACTGCATTGGTTGAAAATCCCGAACGTATTACTCTGATGACTAAGTTGACGAGAATTAAACAACATCAACCAATTAATTTGGTCAATGCCGACTTGGCGGTCAGGCGAAGAAGCTTGACTACTAAGTTCTCGATGGCAATCTCAGAAGCCTTCATTTTCTGTAAATCCTAATGTTTTTGTTGTCATTCATGTCAAGATTGTGTACGATGATGGAGATGAAATGGTACTTTATTATTATAAGACAAATAAGACAGACCAGAGGGGACTAACAATGGCATCCGGAAACCACGTCAAAACAAGCCTCAACTAAATTACAATGTGTAGCCGAAGTCGAAAAAGTTTGGATTCAATTTGTAGCCACGATATACCGGCAACTGAATCGCACGTAAAATAGCGGGAAAAATTGCGATTGAGTAGAGGGAGTCTGCTTAGAAAGGGATCCTTGGAAGCCATTATATGTACAGTATGCTGCTGATGAAAGGGAAGTCTGCTAGCTACGAGTTATCGGAAAAATAAATAAATAAAAAAATAAGAAAAAAGGTGGTGATAGTTGATTGTGATGAAAGAATGAAGGGATGAATTGGCTTGTAGAAGAAACATTTTCAATTTGCCATGAACAATTTGGTAAAAGAATCCTTTGAATATTATTCCTCACTGCGAGACACTAACCATGCACAACCATTATATTTGTATTCCAAAGCCCTAATAATTTTGTTGCCTAGATGTTTGACGCAGAATTATTTATCCACATAACATTACTGATACTTTTTTTTTTGTTTGAGCTTTTATATTGGATCTTTACTGGAAAAGTCTCTCTTCTAAATATATCAATGATTCACAGTACCAAAACTGGGACACCAGGACCTAGGTAATATAACCAAAAAATGATAACCAAAGATTAAAAAAAAAAACACTACAACAAAGATGATAACCGTAACAAAAACCACTACAGCAAGATGATAACCGTAACAATCACAAGGAACAAGCTGAACCCAGAATAAACGTCAAAAATGATAGGATAAAGTATCACGAAAAGTTTAAACCAAGCAAAACAACCCAATCATTGGGGATCTGGTAAGGAAAATAAGAAAAAGGAAAGAAAAACAACAACAAACACAGATGGGCTGGTCTCTCTGAATCCAGATCCTGCCAAATGTTCCTTTAGTTATAAATTTTGACTGAATTGTTCCGGCTCTGCGAAAAAGAAAAAAAAAACCACACACAACTGAGAATCACCACAAGATATTCTAAACAACAGCTATGATTTTTACTGGTTTTACACTACAAGACTTTAAAAAAATGTACCCGACTTAATACCTGAAGTGAGGCGGTTCTCGGAGTTGTATCGGCATGTTCCAACCCTAGGGCGTACAAACCCCAGGGACTATAGACGTCTCCCAACACAGGAATTATTTCTAACACCTCGCCAATGTCATCAAGCTTCGAACTTTCCACTGACGGAAAAGTGAATTTCCACTTTGAAAACTCTTCATCAGGAACCTGCAACCTCTTCTAGATCTGAAGCTTCAGCTCACCGATTGTTTCCCCCTCGCGAACAGCCCGGATAAACGGGTCCCCGAAGTGCCTAAAGCCGAAAGAGTATACTGTCCCCTTTGCAAAATGGTACACCCGGATTAATCTTCCCTCAGGGCCAACATTCTTTTCTTCCTCCAGGATCTACTCAGCCCGAAGTTGCCAGGTATTAAAAATCAAATCAATTTCGCTGGCCCAGAGGGAAGAGCTTGTAGATCTTGTGCTCGAAAGTCTCCATCAACCTGAGTTCTGCTTCGGGATCAGACAAACCAACCTTTGCTTTTATAACTTCCAGTAGATCCTTCACAGTGTTCTCTTTCGGTAACTGATAACAGTAAAATATATACCCTTTTAGTAGGTATTTTTTATTCATTTCTACTCATAATATAGTGTAAATTAGTTAGAATTAGTTTACTTTTGGGATGATTTTGTAGTTCAGGTATCTAAGAGGGACAATGTGAAAAATCCACATAAATGAGGGCCAAATTGCATAAAAAGGCATCAGAAAGGACTGGAATGAAAGCTACTGGAAATTGGGTTGTTGGAAGATCGATCAGAGCTGGAGCAAGTGGAGAAATCCTTGCTAAGGAAGGAAGAATGATAGCAGATGATCACAACTTGGAGAAATCTGCAGCATCACACTCAATTGAAAGTAAGAAGGGCAGCTGCCCTACTGTCAGATTGTTGCTGCAGTAGCTGTTGCTACTGTCAATCAAAGAGGAGCCACAAGCTGAAATCTTGGTGCCCAAGGAAGGAAGTTGCTTTGTCATCACTGCAAGTTGTTGCTGTTGCAAGTGGAAGAAGAGAAAGAGGGAGAATATGTGATAAGCAGCAGCTACAACTCTGCTACTTACCAACTAATCCTACTGCTGAGTTGATGGATTGGCTGCTGCAGAAGGGTGAACAATGGTATAGCAAGTGACCCAGGAAGTAAGGAAGAAAAGGGCAGAAGATTCAGGCTGAATTGGGGGTTGAAGACACAATGATGGAAGGAAGCATGTTGCTGATGCTGCTACTTACTGACTGCTGCAATTTGAGCTGTGGATAATAAAGAATGAAGAAATGGAGATTTGTGGTTGTAAATGGTGAGAAGGCGCCAAAGAAGAAGACTAAGGAGAAACAGTAATGATGAATAGAAGATGGTTGATTGCGGCTGAAGAAGGAAGGAGCTAACCAGAGAAGGCAGCAACTTGCCAATTAGGCAAGTTGCTGAATAAACAATTACCTTTGGTTGCTGCAACTTACTGTCTCCTCTGCACTGCTACAAAGAAGGCCAGAACTCAACCAATCCAAGCCTCTCCATATCTTTATAATAGTCAGCCAATAGTAGTAGAAAAAACAACAGATTGAGTAGTTAGATTTAGTTACAAAGCCAGTAGTTAGATAGTTAGTTAGTAGGTTAGAAACAGGGTAGTAGATAGAACAAGGAGGTAGACTGTCACCTTGTCCAGTGACGAACGCCTCGCCATAGTGAGCAGACATAAATTGTCCCTGCTACCATCTTCCCTTTCTTTCCTCAAACCATTTGATCTAGATTCATGTATTATCTTTTGTACTCTGTTGCTCTCATGTTTAAATCAATAAGCATCAGTAGCTAACTCAGTTAAGGGTTCAATCCCTATTCTCTTTATGTGAAGGTTTTGATTCAGTTTTCTTGATGAGGTGTTGTGCCTAGATAAGTGATTTAATTAACCTTTTAATTAACTTGGCCACTTAATTAAATATTCTTGCATGTTATGAACATCTGGAAGGGTAAGCATAACCTTAGAACTGCTTAATCTAGTTTATGACGATTGAGAAAATCTACCCTGCGGTTCCAGACATCAACGGAAGTTAGGTGAATGGTATAGGCGATCATAAAGGGCTTAAGAACTCAATGGCTTAGATTAATGAATTACTCTGACTGGAAGGTAGGTGATTTAGATTCTATATTCTATCTGGAAAGAATTACAAAGATACATAAGTACTTGATCGAACAACTAATCATACACTACAGGAATATTGAATCAAAACTGGATCATAAAGGTAGGAAGGTGATTGACCTTTCTGCCTACTCACTCTGTCAAGTGACTATTCTCACTCTCCCAAGTGACAATCTGTTCAACTCATTATTTCTTCTCTGCACTTTAATCAGGTTTTGAGCGGTTAACAGTTGTCTCTGTGGAACAACCCTGCTTACCACTAGCTACTAGTTTTAAGTAGGTTATTAAATATTTCTTTTGGAAATGGTTCAACGACAAACCCCTCACCAGTAACCTGATTTTGAGAATCACCACCTCCTGATCTTTCGCCGCAGGGTGAAATGCAACTTCCAGTGTTTTCAAGCTCTCCAGTTCCGGCAGAGGGATCTCGAGCACCTCGTAGTAAAGGATGTTAGAGATCCGGATGAAAAAGACGAGCATATCTAACAAGCTGGCAGCTCGATATTTGATGCGCTGTTGCTTTGGTTTCTGAAAATTCACACAATGAGGTGTGAGCCGAATCCTAGATGGATCATCGAGATCGAGCTTCTCAGCTACCCTCTCTACCACATCATTATAAGTGTCGTTCTTTGTCAACTCCAGGCAGAAATCATCCTCTTTTGGTTTTTCCAAGTGTCAAAAATGTATAACCAGGCGGTTATTGATATATTCAAAATATGAAGGAAGATTAGGACATCAAAATTGTTCTTGATCTTCTCTAGAAAGGAGCTTTTGAATGTAGATGATTTCCCCATCTTGAACTCTGGACCAAGAACGTGTATCCATCGGTTTACAAACAATATTCTGTTCAAACTTCACTTCCTCGAGAATTTCAATATCATCGTTCATAGAGAATCCAGCCGACACTTTTAGCAGCACTTTGCATGGCTTTCCAGAGCTCTTCTCAAACATCCTCTCCACATATCGATGCTCTTCCTTTTCAGGATCATAAACCTTAAAGAAGAGAAGTATGTTTTCTTCAGTTTTTTCTGGTAGAGGCTCAGGATTCAAATCCATAACCTCCAGAAACAAGTTCAACTCCACGTTGTGAATCCTGGGTGAAACTTCCCTGATCATCTGGCCAACCATTTTCGCTTCCTCTTCAGGCGTTAATGGATGATCCAGATGGAAAGAGGTGTTCCTTCTCAATCCCCAGAACCAAAAACACTGGTATTCAACAGACACACCGAATTCTCTGATTATCTCCTCCTTAAAAAGATAAAAAGGCATTTGCTTCCTTACTCGAAAGCTCCTTGTCTTAAAATGGTCCACAAGGTCAAAACATCTCTCTTTTCCAATAGGCTGATTGAGATCCTCATCACAGGAGACCTTGACATTGGTAAAAAGATGTGCCTCGGCTTTGAATTTCCTCTTCAGTTTCTTCTATTCTCGCTCCTCCTTCAACCTTGTCCTGAGGTCTTCAGCAATGTCATTCTCATCAACATCACAAATAATCCTGTCCGTGTCACTTTTCTGAATATACACAAGCATGTATGCATTGGAATATTTGGTGAACCCTGATGGACTTGCCTCGCTTCCGTACTGGTAACTCTTTCATCGTTGAATTTGTACCATTCATCACCTAGAGTGGGCCTGATGAAAGCATAATAGTGTCCACCACGTACCCCGTCCCTGTGCAGTAGAACACTATGAAGTGTGTAGAGATTCTGGACACTCCTATCCGCATCAGGAGACAAACACTTGCCATTCTCCCTATCAAGATCCAGTTGGAGAGGGAACTCATACCGATCATTGATCTTAACCATTGAATCACTCGAAAAGTCATACTCAAACCGCTTGAGATGAAGTTGAAGGACAAGGGGGAAATTAGTGAAAAGCACCCCTTTCTTAGCATCCTGCAAACCATGTCCCTCAGCATGGTACTTGTTGTCTTCTTCCATATGTTCAACTTCCACATACTTATCAAACAAGGCATACACATCCTTGCACCCTTTCATATCAAGCTGAAGATCATAAAAAGACTCCTTCCTAGTAGACTTAAACTCCACGTTGATGCACTCAATATAGTTCATTTGGTGTCCACCAAACAAGTTCTGTATTGTGCTTTCAACAACAATCCCCTTCATCTTTTCCTCAAGCTTTTCACACAAAACCCTATTCAGTTCCTGTACATCCTGCTGCATAAAAGAATCATATGTGTTCCACCCAAAAGACCTAGTCAACTCTTTCATCAAAACGCTCTTATCAGCATACTGAAGCTTATAAAACAAACGCAAAAGCACAAGAGCAATGATTCCTGACTCAGTGGTTGACATATGATAAACAACCTTTCTAAAATAAGGAATATGGAATAGGGTTTGCGAAAGAGAGTTCATGTAACAAGTTGCACCCTGATTCTTCAACCCAACAAAACCAGTCTCTTTCTTTGAATCATAATCCCAATATTCCTCAATTTTACGAACAGAAACCTCTGCTCCAACAACTACATTATCATTCACAAGAAACCCGTTTTCGAGGTCAAGAAGCTCACTAAGACGCACAAAATCGGGAAAACTTGCGCTTGTCAAACAGGTTACGAACTTCCTGTTTTTTTCTTGACTTGTTGGAATCAACTTGGTTAACAACAATTAAGCTAAACTTTGTATAACAACTCCATCCAATTGGCAAACAATTAGGTTCAGAAACAACTAAAAACATAGAAAAGGAAGGAGACTCCACATTGGGTTTGTTCCCTTTGGAGAAAATCATCACCTGTCATTTTCGTCCTCCGGCAACTAACTTCGGCGAGAAAAGCCTCTTCTCATCCAACCCGGAAAAATTCTCAATCCCCCAAGTGAACCATGATGCTTTAGGCAGCGGCACAGCAACAGCAGCTTGATCCTCTTTTCCTCATCCTTCAGCTGCTGCATTAGCAACTCCTTCCATGGGCTGAGGCCTTCTATTCTAACAAAAGGGGTGATGGGTTATTGCCGGAATCTGGTTCTGACTCCGGCGAAGGCATCTCCTCATCGTCTTCTTCAAGGCGTCATTTTCTACGACGTCGGGGACAGGGATATCGACAAAATCCGGTTGGGGAACAAGCATCTCCTCGTCGTTTGGTTGAGCAAAGGGTAGAGGTTCCATCAGAGTCACGGTGACTAGAATTTAATCCAACAAGGGAAACTACAATGACAGAGGAAATCTAGGGACGGGGGCAGAGAAATCGAAGGAAAAGGGTCTTCCACCGAAACAAATATCTTTTTCAATCATAATTCACTGAACCGACATTTTTTAAACCCTAATATCTATAGTATTTAATTAAAGCAACATACAAGAAGCACATGTGTCAACTCCACGTTGAAAATTTTTCTGCTAAAGGCCTTTTTTAGTACAAAATGAAAACTGACACGTGCCACTCTAGATTTTCAGGAAAAAGAAAGGCTTAAGCAAAGCCTAAAGTTACGTCTAATATAAAATAATAATAATAATAATAATAATAATAATAATAATAATAATAAATAATATTTAAGATAAGGTAATAATAAGAAATCCAATTACCACAACTATACTGATAAGAGATAATTTACGGATATCAGTCTACTCCCAAGTTTTAGCTCCGCCCCTATATTTTAGCTGCATCAAATTAAAGAAAAAATTCAATCTTATCTTCTCCAAATTGAAGCGTATCAATTCAAATCTTAAAAGAATCTCTGAAAATTGGATCAAAGGCATAACCTTCTACCCCTCTTTTATGAAAGTTAGAGGCAAAAAAAAAAAAAAAACTATGGAACAGAAAGATTTTTCAGTCTCGCGCACGATTTGGGAGTTTCGAGCAGCGACGGTGAGAAAATGGTGGCAGCTACAATCAGAATATCGAGGCCACGAGGAAGATTTAGTAATTGGCGATGATGGGTTTCGTTGATATGGTCTAAATTGGTGAATCTGATCACGAGAATCATCGGCTGATCGAATCTCTTCACAAATTCAGATTATTAGTTCATCCTCCGCTGAAGAAATTCATGCTTTGCACTTTGGATTGGTAATCAACTTTCATCCATTTTATTTTTGAAATTTTTGCAACTCTGGAATTCGGTTGTGGTTAATGATAAATAATAAAATAGAATTTGATTTGTGTGATATTTTTTTGGTTTCGTTCTAAAACTCAGGTTGTTGAATCTCTTCTGTTTTGCTCCCCTCTCAAATCCGATATGGACCCTTTTTGTTGTGTATCATAAACAGCAACGATTAAAAGCTCTGGCGAAGGATTGCAGGTTTGAAACCGTTTCTAAAAGTTTAATTTTGTAGATTTATTTTTTGGAACAAATTAATTTCGAAAAAATTGTTAGATATTTCCTTTTGAATGCTTGAATCATTTCTGCTAATCAACTTTCATATGTATATTTCAACAACACAAGCACGAAAAACTCCAATTCAATTGAGGCAAAAAGAGATGTTGAAAGGAGAGGTAAACAATGAGTTTTCAAGTTCTAAGAACGCATCATATACCCTTTCTATTTGATATTACATGATATTTTGTATGACCGGGATGTAAAAAATGAGTTATCAAGTTCCTAGCCAATAGAATTTCCATCATATCTTTCTTCATTTTCCTCTCTAATCAATCTTCAGTGATCTTATTTTTATTTTGTATAATTTATTTCTTTAAATTTTATTTTCTTTTATTCGTTTATTTTTTTATTTTTTTTATTGATCATTCAGTGTCCGCCAACTGCATCGATGTGAAGTGTTATAACTAAGGTAATTGAATTTTTCAACTTCTATTTTACTACTAATTAGATTTTCCTATTGTGATGGAAGTCCATGTATACCGTTTCGAGTTTGGGGGATTTTAAGAAGTTTATCAATGATGTCTTCCAAGGATATCAAAAGGCCTGGATGAATGGTGAATTAGGAATGTTTTGAATCTTTGAAAAAACCGTCTTACTTTAGAATTGTATTATTTTTGGATATCTACTACTTATGATGCATAATATGGATATTCATTTTTTTTACTGACTCCGAGCTTTTAATTATATTCATTTTTGGCTGACATTTATGTTTTATGCAGAATCACAATCCCAACAATACTTTTCTGAAGAATCTACACATTTTGAGGTAATATTTTGTTCCGGTTATATTTCTACTTTAGAATCATTCGTGCTCATAGTAGAAATGTGATTCTGAATTTAATTTATACTTTTATCACCGCTCTGGACTTTTTGTTGGGCTCCTGTCATTAATAGATTCCTTGGTAGCTCTACTTTAGGGAAAAAGTTTTGTATTAATAGTATGAAAGCCTATTACTTATTGTATCACTATTATGGTTTGAGATTACTTTAACAAAATCACTTTTTAGTATTACAACTCCTCTGAGTTATGGGAATGGACAAGGAGGGCAGTGACTTTTGACAACCTCCACAATCTGTAAGTAGGAAATTCTCAAGTCATTCAGTCTTATTATTTAAATCTTTGACATGGAAATTGCTTGGGAGAAATTTTTTGGTTCAAGATTTCTTTTGCAATTTGTTTTGGTTTTGATTACTTTTGCAAGTTTTATTTATTTGACTTGGTTGATAAAATATGTCTCCATATGTGGCTTAGAAGAGAAGATGGCGCGAGCTGGTTGGAATCGATGAGTAAAATAATGAGAAACTCCAGCTTAAAACTAGACTGGATTATTTTTGTTTCTATTGTTTGAAAGCAACGGCAGAACTACTGAGATGACTGGCAGAAACTTAGGTGAGAAGAGATTTTGGCATGATAAATCATAATGTGATAGCTAAGCATCATTCATATCCTGGTGTTGCGATTTGAATATTGGTGAATTTGTTTTGTACCAGAGATAAAGGGGATTGCTTAAAGTATTTTTGTTTAGAGTTGAAGTTCTTCTTCAGATGTATTTTGTGTCAATGAGAGGAACTTTGTTTGAAGCGTGGGGTTCTTAGGTAACAAGAAACTTAAACTGTAGATTAATCCTCCCTTTTCTTCACTGAGTAATCAGAGTTTCATCTCTTTCCCTATACAAATGTGTCACTTTTTATTCATTAGTTTTTTTAAAAAAAATTTCACTATTTTGTAATAGAAATGGTAAATATTATAATAAAATGTAAATTTTTGTATGATTATTTTAGTTACCGGCTTCACAGTTCACACACAAACGTCTCCGGGCATCCGCCCGGGGCAAGCATCTAGTTATAATTACAGTAATATAGTTTATTTGTTGTACTGGGCTCTTTATTTGTCAAAGCCCAATTTAGAAGCAGTTAGTTGGGCTGATTTAAAGGGAAACGTCAGTGAAGTGTCAATTTTTCAGCCTGACCATTTTATTATATCATTGGGAGGATAAAGATTATGACGCTTGGCCCAGTCCCCACTTTATAGTGAAGGAAGGGCTTCATAATACTAATTCAGTTTAAAGATTTTTTAAAATTGTAATTTCACTTCTGTTGAATAAAATTAAAAAAAAAAAGACATTTCACTTCTTTGGACCGGCCTATATATTTATCCTAGTTCCATCACCAGTTATTACACCAGTTATTACACACTTCTTTGGACCGGCCTATATATTTATCGTAAGTATAAGTGTCATGACCAAAATAATTAGGACTATTTTTTGACTAACTTACTGTCGATATTCTATGCTTTTATCATATTGTCACAAATTTTAGCAGTGTTGTATGATTTCTGCTGTACTGATGGGAAAACTCCAAAGCATTTATGTATTAATAACTAACTAACGCTTTTTTCCCTTTGGTTTTAAATAAAGTGAGAAGAGTAGTCCTTTTTAAGAAAAGGAAAGTGAAACATCATTTGCGGGGTGTATCAATTTCTCCAAAACAGCTTCAACAGATGAATGAAATAAGTCATTATGATCGTGATGAATAAAATTAAGTCGAAATTGTCTTCTTTTCTTTTTAGGATTCAATAGTAAAATCATAAAGTATTGACATTTTTATTGTAAAATTATTAGCATCAAATTTACCGACTAATGCAAAGTTGACGAAACCGAATTTCAACGAATTTTCTTACAATTACAATAAAAATTTGATGAATAAAATTGTACTGGAAATAGGTTTAATTACAAAACTTACTAAATTGTTGCTAAACAAATTTTGTTCATGTTAAAATTAAAATTTGATGAATAATCTAAAACATAATATAGTTGATAAAGTCAAAAATATAAATAAGAAATCAGATAAGAAAACAAAAAAAAGAAAATAACAGTTGAAAAAAAATCTCCGTCAACCTTAATGTCGATTAAGACAATCGACGATAAGGTCGACAACATCCATCTTTGACGCTTCAATATTGAAGTCGGTTTAAAAACACATCTTCA